CCATTTCTTGAGTGCAAGGGCAGATCTGTATTGAAAGCATCTAAACTCCACCCTCAATTAAAAAAAAAAAAAAATTATATTCCTCTTCACTCATCTTCATCCACTGCATGTATATATTATGTGTTATCAGGACAAGTCTGTTCTCCCCAAAGATTAGAACTAGATGGCTTCATGCCTTCTAAATGGAATCTGAGTGCAATATCCTCACCACTTGTCAGTTCGGTCAGGTTCTTTATCCTAAACAGTTTTAGGTTTTCTTTCTTTTAAAGCATAAGCTGGTTTTATTTGAAAGTAATCCACATAGGAAAAGCAGACACCCCCCACCCTTTCCTGCCCGTCCGAGGCAGCCTCCCTGGCCAGGCACACGTGCCCCTGCGCAGCAGAGCATGTTTGCCAGCACGGCTTCCTCCCGGGCCAGGGCCAGGGCACAGTGTCACCCCCAGCTCATTAGCACCCAACCTGCACTTACCTGTGGCAACCAAGCCTGAAGCATTGCCCAAACACTTTTGGAGTGACAACTCCACTAAGCAGGAAGCACCTCATTTCCAGTTTATTACTTTGTTTACTGGCTACATCGTTCCACCACGGAAAAGTTTAAGTGCTTCGTGACATTTCACTTAGAAGATATCATAACACTAAAGTGTCTGTATCACAGTGCAATATAGGACATTAAAATGCCACTCATCCTTTTTCAAATGATATTTTCATTTCCTCATCTGCATACTTTATAGCACATCATCTTTGCTAAGAAGTTCTCCACAAAATCTTTCATAGAGTTAATACAGGGCATAAAACTAAGGCTTGTTTTTAAAAAGAAGGACCTTATCCAGAACTCCTAACTTAACAGGTAACTCCACAACTCCTAAACACACTGGTTCAGCTCACTTCACCCCCAATCCCTTTGCCTGATTCCTCCTAAGAATTTGAAAAGCACTCGGCCTACTGTTCATCTTCATTAATCTCTCCTCCATTTTTTCTCACAGATACATCCAGAAATCCTTCAGCTGTGTTTCCAACAGGAGGTAGTAAACATACTTCTGTTGAACTCAAAGAGTTAGCTCTTTCTGTACCAAACAAGGTGGAAGAAAGTCTCTCAGCCCAGTTACTACAAACAGACCCAGAGGCACATATCCAAGTTTGACTTGCAAAGAAGGAAGAAGAGGAGAAAAAGCAATCTTCAGACTGATTGTTCCTCTCTTGTAGACAGAAAGCCATTTCTTTAAATTAGGATAATCTCAAGGAGGGATTTAATGCTTCAGAAAGTAAGAGACGACTGCTTTTTGCTTAATTTGTAAGTGAAAACAGAATAGTCTACACAGAGAACACACAGCAGAGGAATAAACAAAGCAAGGTAATAAAAAAGTAAGAAAATACTAGAATAAGGTCATAAAAAACAGCCAGCATGCATTTAGAGACAAACAAGCCTGTCTTCCTCCTTTGACTGATCATTCATGCAGTGAGGGGGAGGGAGGAGGAAGGAGCAGTAACTCTGAGCTATTTAGACTATAGTAAGACTTTTGATGTCTTGTAACATTCCCACAGTAAAATATGACTATACTGTAGATCTAAACCACATGATTTTTTCCAGTTGTGCACCAAGTGTACTCTAGGAGTACATAACAAGCCTTCTGAGTTTGGCAGTAAGCTATCACCCTGACATTATGCAATGTTTTCATTAACTCCGATGGTGAAACAGTGTGTTTATACAGTTTATGAACAAAGCTGAACTGGAAGAGTTTGCAAGCACTCTGCTACGAAACCTGGTTCTGTCTTCCAAACTCAATAAACTGGCGAAGCGATCAGAAGTCATTAGAACTAAGTTCAATAGAAGCAAGAGCAAAGCTCTGTACTTGAGAAAGGAAACAGCGGTCCAAACATGCAACATGAAGCAGCTGACGAGGCAGCTGTACTGCAGAAACTAAATCGTGATATCATGGATCAAAGCTAGGTAAGCTGATACGTTGTTACTGCAGAAAGACACACACAAGAAAAAAAAAAAAAAAAAAAAACACAACAAAACAAAACAACAACCAAAACCAAAACTCAAATGTCCCTCCAAAAACACCGTATGTAAGAAAGGGAAATAAATCATTCTTCTCACTGGCACTGGTGAAGCCTCAGCTGAAGCAATGTGACCACTGTATTTTAAGACGCTTCAACACTTCACTTTAAGAACTGAAGCGTAGGAAAGGTAAAGCCAAGCAGCAGCTATCAGTATTTTAGATACCGTGTTCTCCAGACTGGTACAGAGGTAGTTACGTGACTGTGCCTAGAGCAACCACTGCTCTTCCACGCTGACACCCCATCTGATGGGTAAGCCCTGCACGATGCTCATGAGACACATCCTGTGAATGCCCTGTGCTTTCGCATAGCAAAGGAATAAGTCTTCATTTTTATCTGCACTTCAAACCTCTCTTCCTCACTTGCAAAACTGCTCCATGGGTTTGCTACACAACACCCCACATACCATCTCCTCTACGCTGCATGTTTATATCTGTAATTTTCAAACTTACATTATTATAAAGGGAGGTAAGTACTGTAGGGCCAAATTTCTCCTTTTTCTTAATTTCTGCTCATACCTCTCACCTCCTGAAGTTAAAATAGTCTATATCATTTTCCACTGTTAAAAAATGTGGTTGCAGTTAGATCTCCCCTTTTTGTTCCTGCACCTCCCATTTTTGCTGGTGATAACAAGAATCTTATTGGTAGTATGACAAAGGCTAAACCATACCTTCTCCCAACACGCCTGGGCATTACAATCTTACAATCTTACTAAGTACTGTTTTTAGCTTAATTTAACCACAAACAAGAACTACATCTCTCTGCTCCAAATGGATTCTGATATAATTATTTGTAAGAATGAGAAAACTCCAAAATATTTCAGGTCTTTTTAAATCTCTTTATGTTTCACTTGGTGTGTGGATCTGTAGTCTTCTCCGGATTTTGAGCGTCTGTAGAAAAGTAAAGACCAGATCTGTGGTCTGCCTCTCCCCTATCCTTTGCTATTAATTTGCAACGATTGGAAGCAGGTGACTGCACACTTGACTGCTTGTATCCTGTGGTGCAGCTGCTATGCAGAAAGCAGCACATGTAAACATTTGCATGATTCGTGCCTCCTAAGAGTCTCTGTGGGCTGTATGTGGCATTTAGGCAGCACTTTCATAACCCCCTTTGTGCATGGTATTGCTCTATTACATTAGTACACAGTTAAGCTAGAGGTGTCTACTAAAATGGCTGGAGATACTCTCCAACATTCGACAAGATCCATGATTTATTTCAAGATGTTTGTTAATTATCTTAAAATAATTTCAATACACTACTTCTGAAGTGTTTCACCCAGTTTGTGATAAATATCTCAATCTATTAACTGTCAGTTTAGAAAAAAGAAACAACAAACCACACAACCATCTAATAACTTGCTTGCTTTATAAATTTGGTTCACTCTACACCAGATCGGTTAAAAAAGGGATCTGATCACTTATCATAGAGCAACTATAAATGTTTCCAATGTTCTAACTTTTTCTGCCTAAAATTAAGGAGTAGACAAAGGTCATATAGTGGTTTTGAACTGCTACAGCAGAACATTTTAAAGCTGCAAATATTGACTTGGGGTTTACCTGACTATTTTGAAAGTTTATTTCACCTTGGCAGTAAATAGTTTTCAAACTTCAGAGTCTGGTATTAAAATCTAAAGAGATGCTAAAAACAACCTGCCTTGTTGCAACTGATCAGGTGAAGGTTTAAGCAATTAAGAAACAAGGAAAGCAAAGAGAAAAGCCCATTTCAAATCCCTAGTACTTAAACCCCATTAACTTATGCATATGTTTATTATAACTTCTGTACTATCTGTGCTATCGTCACACCATATAATCCTTACAGCATATACATATAAGAAATCCACCTAAGAGTGGTCATTTATGTGGTGTCGTTATTAGCTGACATGTCATTAACAAACCTAATTAAGATGTGTACGTCATATAGGTGTTAGTACTTAATACACAGATATCTAAGATATATTAAAATGTTTCTCAAAACACCAAAGTGATTATAACACCAAAAAAAGGTGTTTTTAAAACTGAAAGCAGCCAGGTAAACAACAGAATCATTAAAACTTTAAGAAATTCAAATATCTAAGCAAGATTTTTTTTTTTCAATTAACACTCAGAATTCTATGATGAAAACTCATAAGATTTGTTTAAAAAAATAATCTTGCTTTAATTTACAGGAATCAATAATCACTGCTTATGTGGATCAAAATAGAAGTCATGACATATTTTCAACTCTAGGGGCATCAGCAGCTGTTGCTATACTGCAAAAGAGCTGAAGTGTTATATACGTAGACAGTCGACTTTATTTTTCTGTAAAAGCAGATGTCAGTAATCCAGATAAGATGTAACCAAATGATTGTGAAAAATTAGTATTTCAGCATGCTTGTTATGATATGTCTCCTTATAACTGGAATAAAACCCACTGTCAGATTACAAAACACCACCAATAGAAGTTCTGGTTATTTTCAGGGTGTTTTCCAGCTACATTTTGACATTTTTGTACATGTGCTGGCATTGTCTGTCGATACCTCATTTGCCTTTGACCGACTCTCACCTCAGCACTGCAGTTCCCTGCTAACGAGCCGACTGTCTCTGACACACAAACTGCAGCATTCCCAGAGCAAAAGCTGTTTGCTACGGTGTTTGTCTCCCTTCCATCCAAGACAATGGAAAGCCGAAGGGCAGGCAGGACACCGGGCCGTAATCACCTTCGCGGGGTACCCACCAGTATCCCACTCCCACCAGCATTTCCCGAGCTGAACCCAAGTACCTGGATTCGCTTCCATCCCCCAAAATGACAGGGGAGGGGATAAGGTGATAGAGTGATAACAGCAAAAAAAAACCAAACAAACAAAAAAAAAAAAAGCACCAAAACAATACCAGGCTGCTTCTAATCCTAGGGGGGGGAAAAACAAAACAAAACAAAAGATAAAATCTTGATAAACCGTTTACCTCGTTCCGGCTTCATTTTCTCTGTCTCCTCAGAGGTCTGAAAGGAGCCGAAGTAATCTGCTGCTCTCCCCGCGAAGACTGGCTGCCGCTGCTTCCAGCTAGCGATAGGAATTATTTCTCGCGTGTAAAAACAATAAGCCGGAGGCCTGCCGCGCCGCCGGGGGCTCGCCCGGCCCCGCCGCTAGCAGCCGGGCCCGCCGGTGGGCAGGCAGGCGGCGGCCGGCCGGGGGAGGCTGAGCACCGGCGGCCTCTCCCCGCGCCCGGCCAGGGTGTCCTTCCGTGACACGGCGCCGCGCGGGGCTATTTATAACCTGCCGGGGAAAAAAATCCTACAACAACAGACCTCGGCTCACCCCCGGCCGCGCCGGCTCTGAGTCACCGCGGCCCCGGGCGCCGGCAGCCCCGGCCGGAGTCCCCTCCCTCCCGAGGAGGGCAGCGAGCGGCGCCCCCCCCACCCCCCCCGGGCCCCCGCCCCGTCACCGCCCGGCGGCTGGCGGCGGGGGGCTGCCCGGCACCTTCATCCCCGGCCCCGCCGCTGCCGCCCGGGCTGCCGGGCCGTGATCCTCGCGCTTCGCCCTCGGTCAGACAGCCCGCCCCTCCCGCCGCCGCGCAGCGCCGCTCTCCATGGCTCTGCCTCCTGCCCTTCCTCCTCCTCCTCCTCCTCCTCCTCCTCCTCGCCGCTGACTAACTCCCGGGCTCTCCCCGCCTCCCGCCGAGCTGGGCACACACATCACAGCCCGGTAGCGGGCAGGGCAGGGCAGCCCGGGCGCGGGGGAACGGGAAGGGAAACCCGAACCCGGACCCGGACCCCGACCGCCTGGCCGGGCGCCGGGGGCACCCGCCGGGACCACGGAACCCCGAGCCGCGCGCCCGCCCCGCCTCACGTGCCCCGCGGCGGCCAATCCCCGGCCGCCGCTTCCTGCCCTCCCGCCCGCCGGGGGGGGGGGGGGGGGGGCACCGGGTTGTCTTGGCAACAGCGCGCCGGCCCGGCTGGGGCCTGCGGGCGGTGGCGGGCCCGGCGAGGAGCGCGGCCGCTGCTGCTGCGGTTTATCGGTTTACCCAAACGACGTGCCTCTCACACACACACCCCTTCTACGCTACCATACCCCCCAAGTATTTTGGCAAGCAGGCTCCCGGCCCGTGGAGGAGAGCGGCCCCTCACTCACCCGGCTCCAGCGGAGGCTGGCGCGCCCGCTCCCGCGAAGGGCCTTTCCCGCGCTGCCGTCAGCCGCTGGCCGGCTCTCCCGCTTCGCCCTGGGCAGCTGCGCCGCTGCTCCCGCGCTGGCCCCCCGTCTTCCCACGCGAGCTCGTGCCCATCGCTGCAGGGATTTATATGGACACGGACCCACCCGGGGCGCCCGCTGCGCGGCGGCTCAGAGCGTGAACTGCCCGTCCCGCCGGGGGGGCTGCCCCCGCCCGCTCACCGCCCCCGCCGGAGGGGCCGCGGAGGCGGGGAGGGGGCCCCGCTTGTGTCCCTGGCCCCGGGGGAGGCCGCTGCCCCGAGGCCTTCCCTCACACCCCCACCCAGTGCCCTGCCTGGCAGCGCTGTGCTTGACGCTCACTTCACAATGATAACTATTTTGTGCAGAGAAACAATGCAGTCAGCTGGGCTGTGGTTACACAACCGCCTTAATCCAGCAGAAATTCAAGTTTCTCCGAAAGGGCCGGGCCTGGGCCATCCCCCGTTTCAATGCCTGCGTGACTGCCTGGTAAAGCAGGTCTGGAGCCGGAGCTGCTGAACGCAAACCTCGCGGCTGCGGCTCTGTGCCCCGAGCTCTGTGCCGGCACGCTGCTAACGCCACCGCAGAGCACGGGGGGCCAGGCTGCCGCGGTGGCAGGGCTCTGTCCCTCACCAGCGGCCCAGATCCACGCGGGCTGAAGTGGCTGGGGTACCAAGGCCTTGTGACAGTGCAGAGAATGGGTTTCTCCCCTTTCAGGGAAAGACCCCAGCTCTTCTGGGGACTGCACCAGGGCCAGGGAAAGCCTTGAAGACAGCTCTGTTACTCCGAGTTGGACTCGGTCAGAAAAGACAGATGAGATGAAAAGACAGATGAGATGATACAGGCCTCTCTCGCTTTAACGTGGTCCCGTGGTTGGGATATACACAGATACTGCCATCCCTCCTGTCATTACACCATCAGTTCTCTGCCACTGTGATGACTGTTTACAAACACCTCCATCTTATAGACTGAGCCCTATGAAGGGCACTCACTCCCTACAACAAGATGATTTACAAATATGCATATTTTCTGCCCTTTCTACAGAGAAACAACGTGCATGGTTCAATCAATGCCTCATCCTTTCTGGTGTGCCAGGATCTGCGTAACAACCCTCTTCTGACAGCTAGCTGAGCAGCCACAGAAGATATTGCAAAGAACGTAAAATTCCAGGGCTCAGTTCTACGTTGTTTGGTTCTCATCAGCGGCACCTATTTCCCTCTCACATTTATCAGCTGTACATCACTACACTCGGAGGGTGCTTCACAGAATAAACTGTCCAGTAAACATCTCTCATTTCAGTCATACTCTGAAATACCTAGGCAAGTAGGAGGGTAGCAAATGCAGTGCTTTGATATTACCCTCGTAAGTACATGAGTGTCACTTCTGTTGCTGTGTGACTGCTGTAGATATGTTTGGTAATTACAGATCTCAGAGCTCTCTGCCGGATGCAATATAATTGCAAATGTGGCAATCCAGAATTATAAAAGGAGGAATTTGACTGAGCAATAAACACTGTAGATGTATGTATATGTGAAGTTCGGTGTGACTACACTGGGCATGATTCAGCTACCTGTCAGATCCTCCTACTGGTGATAGTCATCCTAATGAAAAGTCACATCCTTTAGGCCACTAATTGTTGCTGTAAGACATTGCAAATTAGTTTGTAGCTTGTTCTACTATTGGTTTTACACCAGCAAAATCAAATCTGCCTTTCTACTTTTTAACTACAACTGTAGCTATTTAACTGTTATGTTGCACATAGTATTTTTTAATATTTTTTTGAGTCTTAATATCACTTCAGCGCTTTTGGTTTTTTAAACAGTTCGCCAGACACAAACAGGCCCAACTTCCAAGAAAATGCTCTCTCAAAGCACTTTTTCCATGGTGTTTTCTTAACGAATGAGCCAAATCATAAGTGCACAGTTTCCCATTACTTCATAGCTCTTAGAAGTTCAAGCCAATGGGAAATGTAAGCAACAGCCTGAAAACTGCTTATCATTAAAAAAAAAAGAAAAGTTCCAAGGGTTATGACAAGCGTAAGCCAGGTTTGGTGTGCAGTACTACTCTCTGTGACTGTGTAGATTTCAGGGTCAGCTTCCCATCTTGAGTCAGACCACTTCTGGACCCAGAGAGCAAAGAGTATATCTGAGATACATGCTTCAGATCCTGCTTCACTTCAGAGGAGGATGGTTTCCCTTTTGGCCACAGAGACATACAACAGATCTGAAAAAAAGCAGAAAACATTGAGAATGAGTAGAGATATCTAATTATACAATATTTCATCCATAATATTAAAAGTAAAATAAGGATAAACATCCCAAACAAATTTGTGGACTTGGTTTGTCTAAAATGGCTAAGAATGGCCTTGAACTCATAACTTTCCTCACAGTCACCAACCAAATGATGAGGACTGCATGAATACACAGAGAAAATATGGCATAAGGGGCTTCAGCCATGGGAATTCGCTTACACATACGTGGAAATTTTTTGAGAACAATGACAGTACTGAAATGAATTTCTGACCTCAGAAGCTGAACATCAAGTTAAAAACATATGAAAAGCTTATGGCTGCATTACACATCACACAAAAGCAGGATTAGCTTAGAAACACTAACAGAACTTTAACTGCCCTCCCACTGCCAAGTCTAGACCAACACGTACTTCTGGGAGCACAAGCAGGGACAAAATCAAGTTTCTTATCAGTTTGTGTCTCATGGTTGATTAACTTTGGTGTCTAGACAGGTGAGAGCTTAGACTGCAGCATCCGTGCAGTCAAAGTGACTCTTGCACATACAGTCTCCAGTGTTGAAAACCGTGAAGTTTCAGTGGCAGGCTCTTTCTCGGTGGAAAGCTTAACAGGGCCACTCTAGTTCCATTTCCTGAAATGCATCAGACCTTTCTTATCACTACCCATCTGTGAAGCTTGGCTGAAACTGGCCATTGGATTTTTTAAAAAATCCCTACTTGGGACAGCATGACACAGTGTTGTCACATAAGCCTTGTTCATATAGAAATGAAGATTTTTAAAAAAATATGTAAATCAAGATAAATGTATGGCTGTGTTTTCTTTCTGAACTTTAGCACTTCACGCTTTTGGCACAGTCCCTGCAACCGAGTGTATTTAAGTTATATCCCACACTGTCTTTTCATCTTTAGCTGTCAAAGAAGTGATGTCCGATGCAGCAGATCAAGATTCCTGTGATTCCTGGAGATAATTACTGCCTGTTACGTGATGTGCCACAACTGCTTTTGACATTGCTGCCACCTCCATGGTATAAAGCCACAGCACTTGAGAGAATATTATAGCCAAATGATGATGACAATCAGAAATAGACTAGAAGATACAGTATGCAATGAATCAAATTTGAAATGTACCAAAAAAAAAATTCTTCTATGAAGAATCAACTGCAATTTAATAGTCACCAGTAGTAACCATTGTGGAAAGAGCATTAAAATAGAAACTGGTTATGTGCTTGTAGGAATTTATTAGTCTACAAGAACTAATAAATTCCTACAAGCTGTTACTGAAACTGAGAGAATTATAAGCCAATATAATTAAAATATCAATATGTTCTAAAAGTTTAGGTTTAGGGGTTATAACCATTTTGGGTTTGGTTTTTAATTCATCATTGTATACAAGTAAGTGGGACTAGTTGAATGGAAGAATGAATTGTAATTCTTTCTCAAGATACCTATAACAACAATAGCAAGGATATCTTGAGAAACTTGTCCCTTGTATGTATGCCTGCCTTTGTGTTGCCGCCATTGGCTTCTGACTCCAATACTTCCGAGTATACGTTTTAACCCCATTCATCTTTATTTAACAGCTAGATTTAAGTACGTCAGTAGCATCAGCCCAAACAGATTAAAAAATGCATTAAAAATGCCCAAACTGCATTCCCCATCCTTACAATTTCCAGGTAACGTGGCTCGTTATGTCATGCAGAGATATCTGAGTGGCATTAAGGCAGCGTTTGCAGAGTTCCTCCACTCGCTTTGTTTCACGCTGATCTCAGAGGCAGGAAGACCCTGATGGTGAGAGCCACAGAGGAGGTTTTGTTCTATATTCATCTCCAGCCCATGCAGAAGTTCCTCCACAAAGTTTCTCACCAGAATAATTTTGAATAGCCCTTAGGCCTCTCTCTGTTACATTGGGGGCTTGCCTCAGGATCAAAGAGAGGAAAGTAAATTCACCTCATCTTTTTCATTTAGAGTCCCCAAACACAGACTGTCATATCAGAAAGTCTGGCAGGATGGGGTATACTCATGTTCTACAGAGTACTACATGGTGAGAACTCTGTGTACTGGGTTCATGCTGATACAGCTATACATAAGGATAGGAAATTAAAACCTTCAACCCAGGATATCCAACATTAGCCTGTAGCGATATTTGGGCTTTTACATAAAACTGCATGATTTTTAAAGGAAAATTCATCTCCAACTCTCATTGACTTCAGCAGAATTTTTCAATCCACAGCATTTTTGAAAACGAGTCCACCTCTATTCAGGTTCCTAATTATGGAATTAGGCACCTAATTTTAGATACTCATTTTTGAAAATTTTTGCCTTTGGGCTTGATTCTCACCTTGTTACATCAGCTCTCTCTGGTTTAAATGTGTCAATTAAGTCAATGAAGTTACTTCTGCAGGAAACCTGTCCCATGACTGGAAAATCAGGATTTGCAACAGAGTAGGAACAGTAATATTTTAGTTTTCTTTCTTATAAATAAACAAATCCTAGTCCTGGTGCTAAGTATTTTGAAGAGAGTAAACCAAAAATAACAAGTATGAATCAACAGGTGCTCTGCTGTTAGACCCTGGTGTTTGCTAACTGACAAGGATTTATCTTTTCACACAATTCCTACCAAAAACCTCCATTGCTTAATTTCACTACTAATTGGCCCTCTCAAAATAAAAGTATATAGCTATTATCGTGTTCTTACCTCCTAAACTCACTTTTTGAAATTAGTTAAATGACATCTGTTTTTTTTTTTTTTTCCTCTTGTGTGCTCTCAAATTCCTTTATTTTCCAGGTAATACTTTCTCACTGAAGACACAGGCAAGACTAAGTGGAGAGAGAACTATGAGAACAACAGAGCAGTAATTGCACTCCTCTCGAAAGCAAAGCTTATCCTCCTCACCAGAAATAATTTCCTGGACTCAACACTTTGCAACTAAACCTTGTTTACATACAGGAGATTCCTTTAGTTGGAAGCAACCTGGTGCCTGTCCTGTGCTGCTCCTCAGGTTCCTCTGATCACATGGGATGCCCTGTGCCACCCTCACTCTTTTGGCAGCAGTAACGGGAGCTTAGCACCTCTCAGGATGGAATCTCTTCTTCTGCCACTCTTCCAGAGAATGAGGTCTAGCAGTCAGGCCTTCTTGCCAACAGAAATTAAGCCCTGCCTGCATTTCCATAATTCACTTCGGAAACAGTAACTTGTATAATCTCTTCTTTCTTTGGAGCAACTACTAAAATGGTATTTCATAAACCTTGTGTGCTTCTTTAGTAACTGATCTGTGATGCATCATTAGATACCAGCTCCAAAAGAGACTAGTGCTGTCTCATCTGAAGGGGTGACTGCTGGTAATGGAAATATAGAAGTATAAAGATAAAGACATCTAAAGGTTCTGCTTTACAAAAAGACTAACCACCCCTTCTGTATAAAAGTCAACCTAAGCTGATACCTGCTCAGAAAGATCGCAACAGTTAAGTTCCATTGCATCAGCACTTGACTAATCAGGCAGTAATGCAATGAAAAGTAAAGTCTACTTGTGAATAGGTCATTAATTTCTGAAAGAGAGGGAAATTATTCTCTTTCATATAGAAGTTCTTTTCTATGTCTGAAATATTCATTCTAGATGAAACAATATTTTTTTTTTTCCAATATTTTTTTCAAGGGGATTGTGCAAGTTCACTGATGAATGCTCACATTACATAATGTTTACCCAGGACAAAGCTTGATGGAAACATTAATCAGAAAATATATAGGTTTCCATATTAAAATTGAAGTTTTTGTAGCAACAGCAAGCCCTGACATTCCCTGAGCAGAAGCTAGAGATACATGTTTGCCAACAGAAACAGCAAGATGTAGCCAGCAGGAGAAGGTTTTGGGAAAATAGAAGCACAAGGACTGTTTCCAGTCTAGGTCATCTGTCACCACTCAGCGCTCTTAGTTTACTTTTGAGTAGGTATATCCAGAAGCTATACCCCAGTTACTCACTGCAGTGATCCAGCAAGAATCCACACGCCCCATTAATATTATTTCTATTAATCTCAGTGAAAAGTGAGTGCATAACACTTGAAAGGAGGTTTTTGGAGTTTTCCAGTGCTGTTTTCCTATTGCTAATGGCTTGATCTATCTTGAAACAACTTCCAGCACAGTTCTTCACAAGTAATCGCACCAAATTCATTGCTGGTGTAACTCCATCTGGGAGGAGTTCATGAAGTTCAACTTCTGATGCCTCCGCCAGCCCTGTTTACTTTCCCTCTCCTACCGCAGCAGCTGGGCCATGGTTTAGTGCCGCATCAATGAGTTGGTGGCACAGCCCAGATCTCTCATCTACGGCAGGACTCACGGTCACAGCCTTTGCCCTCACGTGCCTCCAGTGCTACTGACTGCTCACCTGGAGTTTGTACCACAACCCTCTTCTGACAAGTTTTTCTATACAGCTGTCTGCAGACTTGCCATCCCATTCAGCCTGTCAGGCAGTCCTTTGGATTTGCCTGTTTCAGGCAGGGTTCCTCCTCCATCACATTAGCACCCATTTCATAGAAGAGTCCAGCAGTCACAGGTGAAGCAGAGCCAGCATCCCTCCAAAGGGTCATCTTGTCGTACATCTCACCCTGCAAGCATAGCTGTTGCACCTGGGAGAAAACTGACACAGTGAGCACGTTCACAACACATTAAGAATTACTACAGCTACGCTGCTGAGTGTATTGAAATTGCACACAACTTTCCACGGGCACTATAAATGAAAAGGATAATTCGTTTATGTAAAGAAGCAATTACCTTGCTGGAACAACAAGTCCAGCCTATATAGTTCCACTCAGGCTAAATTAATACCACAACTCCTACTAGGCTTACAAGAGAGTAGGGCAGGAAAGTAGCACATTGTTAAATACAGGGCAATATTTAACATAACCACATGCATGGTTTACAAGAGAAGTTGCGTATCACTTGCTAAAATAGTAGGTGAGTTGGGGCTTATTAGGTAAATGCCAGAGCTATTGCAAAACTGTCATGGTCTCGTTCTAAAAATTTTAGATGCATAGTTACTAGCCAGAGTCCTTCTAATATATTCATGGCAATTTAGTGGCATATACTACATGTTAATAGTAAAGACCAAATAGTAACAACACTGAACAGAAATGGGTGCATATATTAACCAGGACTGATTTTTTCAATACAGAAAAGTGAAAACTACTCAGATTCGGGTTTCACTGATTCCCAATTTTTTCTTCTTTTTCTCTTTTAGATAAAAAAGTATTCCCTAAAATTCCACTCATTAGCTTCTGTCCTGTAATTGTATAGTCCACAGTGAGGAACTCTACAGCTCATCTCACTCGTTGGCAGGGTTGGTTATATTGGTCGTGGGCCCAGCTCCGCTGTCTTCATATACCAAAATCTTCTTGATAAAGACCAAGCCTACATCTCTCACCCCAAGTATAGTATTTGTAAGCTTTACTGTACCTAAACCAAAACAATTTATCTTTTCAGGAGTCTGACATCCTCTGAAAGTGAGAGCATAGTAGCAACTATAGCAAAAAAATGAGCGTTAAAAGCTGAACACTGAAAGGCTTGATTGTATTTCACTGTGTAAAAAAAAAAATATCAATGCCTGGCAAATGTCATCAATGGTGAAATCCTTGGCCCATATACAAAGGTCAACTCCCCTTCATACAGGAGAAGCTAGGATTTCAACTTGGGCTATATTGGGTAGTGCTTTCTTTTCTGCTTTCACAGTAGATCAATTATAATTGTAACTTATGGTTGATTTATTCTCAAGTTGTATAACATTATTTGAAGAAGATGGGAAGTTGAAATCCATTCAAGGATCTCAAAGAAAGGGAATAAAGTACAGTATGTATACTAAAAAAATAAACAAAATTGCAAGTTATTATAACTAAGTTATCAAATTGCTTACCTTTGGATGTCACTCAAAACTTGAAAATTAGAGAGATCACTGTACATATTTACAGCAAAGTCAATCTTAATTAGGCTAGGTATTTTTTTAAAACTAGCGATACAGTTAGAACATTGTAGGTGTATCTGTTCTTATATTGCTTTTGGAACCTTCTGAATTTCTTGGTTACTTTATTTTTCCATTTAAGTTGTTTAACTGAGTTTCCTTCTTTGCACAAAACATAAGCAGCTTCACTGCTTGGAAAACATAGAGCCTGATTGTTCGCCTGCGTACACCAGTGCAAACCAGCAATGATCCCACCAGCCTATAGAATTACATCAATGTAAAGCTGACGTCAGAGAGATAGCAATCAAAGCCCTTGTTTCAAAGTTAACCGTTTTTGTTTAAAAAAATAAAAGATGAGTACAGAACACATTTGTTCTCCATCTCAACTGAAATGTCAAAGAAGCACTGAAGTTTTGGCATCTGATCTGTGTGGGATTTGCACACGTGGATCACATTTCAAAAACAGGGTCCCAGTTACAACCCATCATGCTAAGAGTCCATTTCCTTGGTCCAATTTTAAGGAAGGGGTGGAGTTTGCCCCTGTTTGTTTGCTGTCATTGGGACGACTTTTTCCACTGTCCAGAGCCAGTAGCAAACTGTCATCAGCCAGCAGCTTTATTAAGCTCCAGCAACAAATACATGGCCCATTTAAAGCCATTCCTCAGCTTTGCTCCACCAAGTCCATCACTCTGCACATTTAATGCTTTCAGATTTTCCCTTGGCAAATGAAAGAAACCTCATACCAAGACTTGCAATCTTTCACCTCCCCCTCCCCTCTTTAAATAAATAGATATATTGCTTGTGAAAGGGACTGAGAGGGAGAGCTGGGAAGAGGATACATTCACAGAGCTCCTGGGCTCAGGACTGCCTTAGGAGGCTGCCATAGCCTGCAACATCTTTAGGGCTGCTCAAACTTATGGCAGGTACCTTCCTGCCACAAACTGTGTGAAGTCGCTTTTCTCTGCTTCCTCCTTGGCGCTGGTCCCTGTAGCACTGAATGAATCTTCATCGCTGCTTTGTCATCAGCCTTCTGGATTCACCTCTCCTAAGTTTAAAAATCTGGAAGCCGGGTCCTTGTTGCGATGGAAACTCGCCCCGGTGGCAGCCATCCGTTGCCAAAGCGCATTCGGTCGCGCAGGGCAGCGGTGAGCCGGGCTCGCGGGGACGCGGTGGCAGCCCAGGCGCTGAGGGTGCTGCCGGGGCACCCGGGACCCCTGCCACCAGCACCGCTCCCACGAGGCCATGCACCCACCCGCTGCCACCTGCCCGCTCCTGTTGCCGTTTCCCTCTGCAGATTTCGAGCTCTGTTTTCTGTTTGCAGCACAGGACTTCCCCTTCTGATAACAGTCCGCTCCCGCTGTGCAACAGGCACCCAAAAGCTTTACCTGGCAGCGGTTCCAGGTGGTTGTATAACACCGGCTCAACAATGCTTGTACAGCATTAGCAGGGATTAAGCCTGCACTTGTTACACAAGCCAGAGCCACATGATCTAAATGACATACCCTGCCTCTCAAACAATTTTCATCAGAAGTTTCAAATGAAGAGAAGAGAACAAAAGGAAATGAAGAGAAAATTCAGAGATTCCCTCATAGTTCTTCAGGGTGAGGGAATATATATTTTCAGTAGTATAGTTATGCGGAGAAAATATACAAATGAAAGGTGAAGAAAACAAGGGGAAAACACATTAAGTTATGGATGAAAATAAACTGCTGAATCCAGAGAGGACAGTGAGACTGATCAGCTCTGATCAGACAACGGTGGTCCTCACTGTGCCCCTCAAATTCTGTTCTTACCCACAGTTGCTAGGAATTGCCAGGACAGCACTGCCAACACTGACCTCAAATCTGTGGAACCGGAGGATCCCAAGGTAGGCAGGTCTGCATTTCTTTTCTCTTTTGATGGAAGCAAAACAGCATTTCATCCTTCTAAAGTAGTGTGAACCTTTCAGGCCATGTACCATCTCAGCTATCATAAAACCAAGCTTAACTGAACTAGAGAAAAAACATAGGGTGTGCAGAAAATGAATGCCTGCCTAGCACATATAGAAGCTGTAGTTCTACAAGGGTTCCTGAGGATGTTGGACGCGTAGTTTAGTTATAAACTTTCTCCACCCTTGACTCTAACCCAGCAGCCAGAGCAGGTGGTGTGGACTTGTATCCCAACTGACCCCTTCCCCTTCGCCCCGGGACAGTCCCGAGGGTGACAAACAATGTCCTCAGCACGTTAAGGTTTCATGCCAGAGGTCTTCAAGGAGGCTGAACCCGCCAGAGGAGATTGCCTCCAGACATGGAACACTGGCTGCTTCATGCACAGGAGTGAAAAAGGCAGTATTTACCTGCTGAAATAGTTGGAGTTTATTTATTTATCATGGCATGTAAAGTCTTTGTTGTGTAATGAGAGCTCCATTTTGTGCCACTTGCAGCATGCATAGAAAAGGAAATATTATTTCCATAAAGAGGTTGTAACCTGGAAAGGCAGGGCAGAAACACATACACAAACAAGGGAGTTTCCAATGTTCATACTTAAAAAAAAAAAAACAAAACATTTTAAAAATCAGTCATTCATAACTTGCTGTTATTACTTCATCAGGTATTCAAGAAATTTGTTAAAACTCATTTTCATCTTAATAATATTGCAAACTAAATACACAGCAAACATTAAAAATGTCAGAGGTGTAGCTATGATTCTTGATGTTTACTATGTGGTAGTTTAAGTATCGTTTGTCATTTAAAGAAGAAAAAAATAGGAAAAAACAGTAAGTTCAGTCAGAACACAGTGTTCAGAAATATAGGCAGGAAATGAGGATTCACAATAACTACCAGTGAAGAGCTTCATATTTTCAGTCATTTGTCTTTTATCTGGGGAGAGAGTTTTCAGCAACACATTGTCACTCACTTTTGGCAAAGGAGAAGTCATTATAGTGTACTTGTATTTCAATACATGAAAAGATAGAGTCTTTAAAACATCTAAAATACTCATGTTAGCTGTTACTCATGCCAGTGAACCTTAAGGAAAATTTGTGTTCCTTGGGATACTCTGTCCTGAACAGTATTTTCAACATTTATAAATGCAGAATCACAATTAGAGGGTTGTTCTAAATTATAATCTGGATTTTCCAAAAATAAAACCTACCCAAACCTCTCCCATGCTGGTTTCACTCGCAGGCCTCTCTTTGGCAGCGGTTCCCTTCACTTAACTCCGGCTGCCTCTGAGGTTGGTTCCAGATTCTTTTCAATCCAATCAAGAAAATTTGAAATAAGAGAACAGTGTTAGAGTACAGTTTACTAATTTATAAAAGACCAGAAAAACTGAAGAAATAATAGCAGAGGCTACAAAAAAGAATAATAAATAAAAAAATACATTACTGGAGAAATAGTCTTTTTCCCATTGCTACTCTGAAGTCACACACATGTATGTTTTTGCACTAAAACCCCTTAAAACTATTGACTTTTCTATCTTTTCAGATTTGGATTTGTCATTGGGTGTTTGCAGATTACATGGAACACAAACCTTCTAAACAACCTCTTTTGGTTTATATACATTAATTGTTCCTGCTGTCAGCCAGAGGGAGATGTATCACCAGTAGGATAATATATAAAGCTAAGTGCTGACTTGCCAAGGAGCGTAGAATAATATTCTGATTTTTATAACACCTTTTCCCTAAGGCCCACAAGATGCTTTATAAGTAAGATTGAATTAAGCTTGTCAGCACTCTGTATGGGAAGTAAATATTTCTTTCTTTATGTTGAAGAAGGGAAACTGAGGCATTAATATTGAGTCCTCAGCAAAGCATTTAGCTGCATGCTTTCAAGTCCTTTAAACTTTTCACATGATTTAATTAAGCATGTGCTCAAGTGTTTTACTGGAATACTGCCTAAAAAAGATGCTACAGCCACGCTGCCAATTTAGTCTGCAGCTGGGAAAACACCACGAGTTCCCCATCACTCACTCTTTAACAAGAACTTTTTTTAATCTGCTGGTTTTCCTTAAAATAAGATCACATCTTTCAAGTCTCATCTGCGTGGTACATTGTCACTTGAGCCTGGATGAGTCCTGGGAGGTGACAACCCAGCAGGAAACCTGGTCTGCAAGGACACCAACCCCTGCGACTCTGCCACCTGTCAGTGTGCTGCAATGGAGAAATGCAGTTTACTGTTCCACAGTTTGATGTTCAGAGTGCCAGTATGCGCTGTGTTCATTAAGCACATTGATGTGAAATTCTTCAACACTTCAGTATACAGTGGTATTTCTAGTTTGTGAACATTTTTGATGATTCAGGTTTCTGTCTCTGGTTAAACCCCATGCAGCAGGACGCTGAACACAGCTCAGCTCTGTTTAGATCTAATCACAGACCTGCCCCGACTTCCCACCGCAGCTCACAGGCGGCCATCATGTCTCAAACCTACTCTTTGGTGTTTCTCTTCAATCCTGTTTCCCCCAGATCTGCCTAGCTTACCTCAGATCACACAGACGTACCTTTCCATTTCCAGTTTGGCTGTTGAAGTTTCAAACATGATTGTAGGTTTTAGTTAGGGCTGGTAGTAAGCTGGAGGGCTCATGGCAGCTGACAACTCTCCGAGGAGTGACATACCCACTCCATACCTATCCACATGGCACTTCTGAGCTGAAATCCTTACAAAACTGGCAGTAAACCTACATAAGTACCGTGTATGCTCTATTTGCTCTCCCTTTCCGAAGGGATCTGATGGCTATTTGCGGGCAGCCTGGTGGGATTGTGGAGATGCTGCAGTTTACAGCTATGAACAGCAGGCTCAGGAATGGCTACACTTGCGTAGGAAGGAGGTAGCTGCTGGTCTGTTTAGGCCAGTTTGAACATGAGTGGGAGTCCTAAGGCCCTCGGATTGCAGGACACAGCAGCCACTGATGTCACTGACTCTGTAGCTCAGTTCATCGGTGTGTGTCCAGGCAGTTCTCATTAGACACTGGATGTCAGACCCTCCTCCAGATGTGCCCTTCAACTAGCCATATTATTGCAATGTTGAACACATGCGCCCAGGCCTCCTCTCAGAGTTTGGCAGGCTGCAGTCCCCGCTGGGGTGCCCAGCTGTGTCAGTGCAGGCAGGGAGGGCAGGGCCACCCCCTTCCTGCACCCCTGGACTGTGCGTGCTGCTGCTCCCAGCACCCTGACAGCCAGTGCCAAGAACTGGGGGACTCTTTCTGGAGAGCCCAGAGGGATGGCTTTTCAGGCAGGCCTTCTGCAAGTAGCCAGCATCAGCTTCCCATATAACATTTCTCTGGTCCTAGAAATTCCTAGAAACCTCTGCCCAAGCTGGGGCCTTATTCTGCTGGCACACACAGGGCTGTCATGGCCCCAAAGGACCGCCTGTCTGTGGTGCACCTCTGAAGGACCCGCACTCCCTCAGCGGTCCCTGCCTGGACCAGAGACAGCATTTTTCATGCAAGATGTGGTGAAGCTACAGCAAACAACGTGTGAGCCACCCCCGGGCTCCCAAATGAACACTGAGCTTAAGAAGGGACCAACCCAGCAGAGGAATACATAAGCTCATGTTCCTGAGCCGAGGGAACCTATCCCTACATGAAAGCTGAGGATCTCCTCCAGCATTTCAGATGCTCTGTTATTCTGTTCCTCATCACATCAATATCTGTACTAACAGCCAAATAAAGTGAACTTGTTTCTGTCCCTTATTGCACATGACTTCCTGCAATTTAGTGTTTGCCAAGTGAGTCACAATGTAAAAAATATAAGTGAAACATAAGAAAGGAGCAATCTAAAGCACTTCTAAGGTCAAGTACTGTGAAAAAGCAGGACTGTATCCTCTTCAGGGATTTTATATTTGTTTTTAATGCATATCCTCATACTGATGACCCTGATAATCCTCCTCAAGCCTGACATGGAAACAACCCTTTTAAACTAATATATAGATAATAGATCATTACTAACATTATATAGACTCTAATTAAAAAGATAAGGAACATATATTTTCTCTTAGTTGTGAATGACACTACTTGTGAGCTAATTGCTATAGGTAGGCAGGCCTCCTTTAGAAGTGAGTGGAGCTGAAAAAGCCACCACCACCCAGCCGATGCAAAGCCCACTAAAGCGAGTTGAAAGTCTGACTGGTTGCAGTCAGCCTTGCACTGGCCACTGATTTCCCCCTCCAGAGGTGCATGCAGACCTCCACGACTTGAGAAAACTATTACTAGTCCCAAATGTTAATATCATTAAGTGAACCCTCAAAACTTATGGCACTGATTTTTAATTAAAACAAAAAAAAATTATAGCTGGTAGAATTTGACATGTCTTATGTGCCTTCTGGTTCTTAAGGTTTTAGGAATTACCATCATGACATTTTCTTCTGATTTTCACAATAAACATGACAGCTCAAAGCATCCTCACAAGTGAAAGTTACAGTTCTCACTTGTGTGCTTGTAGCTGGTGAGGCTTTAGGAAAAAGCTAGGTTTTGTGAGATTTTTGGTAAAACTGGGAGCAGGCACTCACATAAATCAGACAAGCTGCTCCTGGAAGCATCCAAAAAAATCTTCCACAGAGCAGGACAGGTCTGAGAACAGACCAAGGGCTGGGGTCAACCCAGCACCTCATAGGCTTGTTCTTCAGCCAGGCTTGTAAACTCATTGCAAAAGGCTTCATATCTGAATCGGAGGCATTTGGATCATACTAGCTGTATTAAGAGAAGCCTGCTAAAACATCTGATCCACATCCAACCCCTTTTCCAAGCTTGCTGGCAGAGCTGGGGCTGTGGTTACAGCCCATCCCTTGCATCTTCCGCTTGTGATTCACCGCCTGTCCGACCCGCTGACAGAGGGATGCTGCCCTAGCTGTGCCCCTGACCCAGCAGAGCCATCTCCTCCACGCAGCCCTTTGC